ATGACGGAGGATATCTGCATACCATATACGATAGTTCGAGGGTATATTTATCCTTTTCTCCTTTATTAAATATCGAATCAACGGATAAGATTGTGTCACGTGTCCCTATTTAGTCGAGTGAAGGGCGCGCATATATGCTCTAGTTTTTGGACGGCAAGGGCACCAATATCCCAAAAGTATAACGAAGGGTATCTGCATACCATTTATGATAGTTTGGGGGTACATTTTTCCTTTTTCCCTTATATATATAGTTCTAGTACAATGTGATTTATAACATTTTTGTCTAGTCGCCCACAATTCATGAGCTTTGTTTAAAGTATATAAAAGAATGTAACTTGATAGAACCTTGTGCAGGTTAAAGGTAAAAATTCATATGATTTCAGCATAAATAACTTTAATGTAACATCTCGCAATTTGAAATAGCTAGCAAGAAGATAAGAATTTGAAATAGTCATTTTTGGAAAGAATGAAAATTTGGAAATTTACTTAAGTTAGGAAAAAGGTGAGTTTTTGATCAACTTCAAACGGACATAACTCCTAGCTCAGGATGAGTTAGGTGTACTTATAGGTATGGTTGGAAATCTCTTGGAACGCTCTTTCCAATGCCTCCAAGATTACGCGAATCCGACTTCATATGAGTGAGATACGCCCATTGGAAGTTGGGATGTTCAAATAAGGAAATGTCCAATCCGGATTTTTGAAGGGTATTTCAGTTTTTTCCTTATCCAATTAATTTAATTCATTTTAGTGAATTAATTAAGAGTAAAATCAGAATGAGATCAGTTTAGTCAATTGGAAATTCACACTAGGGTTTGGAGAAACGAGAAAAGAGGAGAAAGGAGAAGAAAACTCAAGGTTCGCCAAGAACGATCGATTTTGGTTATGGATTCGCCAAGAAATTCATCTTACAAGGTATGTGAGTCTTTCATAGCATTGGGTTCATTCACCCACGCACCAAACATGTTTAGTTCAGTGAAATCCATCCTAAAAGAGTTTGAAAGTTGATGTTCTTGACATGTATTCTTGAATTTGAATGTTGTTCTTGAATTGTGATGAATTGAGGAGTTTCTGAGATCTTTGAGTCGAATTATAGAGATGTTTTGAGTTAGGTTCTTAGGTTCATATGCTGGGTATCTGAATCTAAAGAGTTTTTGAGAAAAATATTCGAATTTAGGCTAATTGGGGCTGTAAAATGGAGAAGGAAAAAGTCGAGCGTCATCTGGCACGCAAGTCTGCGTCGCGGACTTGCTCCCCCAGTGACCAAAAAGTTTCTCCACCTCGCGGTTAAGATGCGGACTCCTCTGTCTCAAAATTTAATTTCGCGAGTAATTATTTAAAACATCTCTCATGTTTAGCTATTTAAGATCATTCCTAAACATCATGTGATCCTTCCTATCACAAATCAAAATCCTTGAATCCATAATTCAATTCAAGGACTAGTTAAGAGTCAAGTCAAGAGCAGTTAAGATCAAAGTCTAGAGAAGTTCTTAAAGTTTTCCAAAAGTCTTTTGCAAACGTTTTAACTTTGTTTTAAAACTTAAGTTTTTGAGTTCAGTAAAGAATAAAGCTTGAAGTTCATTTCTTCAAAAGTATATGGGGACTATGTATTCCCAAAGGGTTTAAAATGTTTTCACATTTAAACAAGAAAGGAAACCTCGATTTCCAAAGAGCCTTCGGGTTAGTTTTCAGAAAAGAGTAAATACTTTCATAATTTAGAAAGAGGCGAAACTTTAATTTCCAAAATAGCCTTTGAGCTAAGTTTTTGAGCAATTATCTCAAATCACAGAAAGAAATATGTTTTTAAACATAAAGAGCTAGTATCATATTTTGGGAGTAGTATTGATCACCGATATAGGGGGGCGTTCAGAGAATCCATAGCCCCCATAAACCATGTAGCCATCATGGGTAGAAAAGGGTCATACTTTTTAGATGAATCCTTTTCACATAGACTAGTGGATCCACTTAGTGAGTTAGGTCCTATACCCCCGACAAGGTATATGATGGTCCTTGGCAGCGTGAGGTAAAGTGTTGTATTATCACTATAGCTCTTAAGTGATGGTTGTCGGTTAGGGAAACTACCACAACAGTATTTTGTATTTTTATATACATCAGTTTATTTGTATTTTTACACACATCTCAGAGTTATATGTATCTTTGCCTACACACAGAGTTGACAATATCATGTTTTAAACAGTTTTTCTTTATATTGCACTTGTTTTTAAACTGCTTTATATTGAAATGAGTTCAGTTATGTTGAGTTGAGTTGAGCCAGGTAAGTTCTTCAGTTCCGGTCTTTCAGATTCTTTTCAAGCCTATGTTGTGTTTATGTAACATCCGGAAAATTGAAATAACTAAGAAGAGGTTTTGAAATTTTTCATTTTGGAAAGGATTTGAAAAATCTGGAAAATTTTGGCTAAGTATGGAAAATGTGAATTTTTGGCCAACTTTGAACAGCCATAAATTCTAG